TATTCCAACACTCTCTCTCTGGGATTCCCAGGTGTGGGGGGATGTGGGGAATTCTCAGGTGGTTTGGAGACTCTTAAGCAGGTGATGGGTTTCCACAAGTGTCAGATACCCGGCTGACCTAAAAAATACATATATAATTTAAATTGTAAAGCATTGCACATTACTCAGCTCTACATGGGAGTCTGAGGGATACTCTTAAACACGGTGATGGGTTTCCATATGTGTCTGACCCCCGACTGACGCCCCCAAAAACATTCCTTCATTCAAACCACACAGCTGCAGATTTAGTCAGTACCAGAAATAATCATTTATTTTACATTTAAATAATTTAATCACACGCTATTTATTTTTCCTCACTGCCGCGTTAGAATCTTCCCCTTCGCCCAAGGGAGTTTGTTTTTCTTTGTTAAATAAAAAACCTGGGGTGTTTCCATGCACTGATGTCTAACAGGATTTCCTAACCAGAAAACCCAAGGGTGATTTATTTCGGTGATGGAAGCAGATTGTGCCAAACACTATACAAGAACTCCACCAAGCTCTATGTTTCCACTTACTACGATTCCGAGGATTTAGACCTTAACGAGATATAATAGGAAGCATCCCTCTATTCCTAGGGGATTATTTTCTTTTTGTACTGAACAGTAGAACCAGAGGTCACGGTCTGCGATTGAAGGGGGTAAGTTCAGAACAAATCTGAGGAAATATTACTTCAGTGAGCGAGTAGTAAACGTATGGAACAGACTCCCGAGGGAGACAGACGGTAAAAGCAGAAAGTGTTCATTCTTTCAAGAATAAATTAAGATAGAATTCTGCTAGGAAATAATAAGTCGGGATACAGTATATAGTTTGGAACATGACATGCGACTGCCAGGTTGGTGGAAAGCAAACTGGATGAGCCTTGTTCTTCTTTTGCCGAGCAAATTCTTCTGTTCTTATTCCTCACAAACTGACGTCACTGGGAACCTCTCTCCTGGGTTCAGTGCTGGTGATGTTTAAGGGTGTGTGTGAGTGAGCTATTACATCTACACCACTGGGTTGTTTGAGAGGACATCTGTATTGGCTGGAGACACGTTGTCATGTTTCTGCCAACAGGTGAAATGCCTTCCCAAGTCTCTGGGCTCCTTGATGGATTACATTTATACAATGCCCCTCGCGCAGGGTAGAGTCCCACAGCGGTGACAGTGGTGGAGCACGAAGCCGAGCCTGGGATAGGTGACTACAGGCACAGTCGAAGAGGAAGGCCTTCAGGCGCAACCTAAAGTTGGGGAAGGAAGAGCCAAGGTGGAGGGATGGAGGGAGAGTATTTCAGAGTTTCGGGCCGTAGTGGCTGAAAGCGCGGCCTCCCATGGTGGAGAGGACAACTTGAAGGACAAGCAGGAGGCCGGAGCCATTGAGCAGAGGCAACTTGTTATGGGTTGGGGAGTAAGAAGGTTGGAGAGGTATGGAGGTAGGATTAGAAGCTACTGCCTGGTATGAAGCAGAACCACTCACCCCAACCCCCTCCCTGAGGACTCGGGTTTTCATTCCAGGCTGTGCTAATCTTGGCTGGGACCACTAGGGACCACTAGATTGATTCTTGAGAATGGAGAACTGATCACTATGTTGGGTGGACGGGTGGCAAATGCTGCCTAATGTGGACACGTGCAGTGAAGGGATTGGGGGTGGACGATAATTAGTGGGAATGGAAACTAAATGGTATTACTCTACAGGACACAAGACAGGAGAGGGGTCGGGGGAGGGGGGGGATTGGGTTGGTGGGGGAGGGTGGGAAGACAAATTGCTGATGCCCTCAGCATGGTGTGCAATGTTGCAGTGTCAAGAAGAGTGAGTGGCTCTTCGGTTGTGGAGCTAAAGGGATGGATGTCATAGGAATTGATTGTGAGTTCCATTGCCCCCATTAAAAGGCTGTGGGTGGGTCCCCGGCTGTCCCCATTAACAAGTCATTTTGATACTTCACATTTACCAGGATGAACGTCAGTCACTGGTCACCATGAAAACAGAATCGGGAACAGAAGCAAATGCATGTCTCTGATCTCACCACTGAGCACTTTGTCATTTACAGCAAAATTCCCAATGTGCACATTCCATTCCAACAATCTCTCTCTGGGATTTCCATGTGTAGGTGAGATACATGGAATTATCAGCTTGGTTTGGAGACTCTTTAAGCAGCTGATGGATTTCTGCATGTGTCAGACACCTGGTTGGCCAAAAAAAACATCTTCAGGTGGGAATAAAGAGGAGGAATTCTCCACAGCTCCCAGCTAGACAGCGCTCCCATCCTTTTATTGGACAATCCATCTTCAGAGTTCTGGCCGTGTATGTGCTGGTGCTCACTCCCCCACTGGAGTTCTCTACTATAATCCCATTGCCCTGCTCTATGCCTATGCTTGTGCTCACTCCCCCCCAAATGGAGCTCTTTACCGCATATTTGCCTTCCAGATTCAACTTTGTAATACCATTTTGGACTTCATGGCTGACCTTTGAAATTTATCAATAATAAAATAATTTGAGCTGTGAGTTGCAAGTTGCTCCCAAGGCTCATTAAAGTTTATTTTAATCATTCAGTCTTTATTTCACATCTCAGACTCCCCTGTCTGGGTTTCGTTGAGAAACGCTATCATATAAATCATTGTCCTAGATTTGCCACCATTCAATGTGTTAAGCGTCCTGGCTGTGTTCTGGGGTTGAGACTCTTATATTTTGTACAGTTGTGTTTTGCATTGTTTGGGAGGGATTCCTCGTATCAGTACGGTAGCTTTGGTCACACAACCCAAGACCATGCCTTCACTCTCCTACCCCACCCTCCACCCCTCCTGATCCCAACCCTCAGCTTGGGTACAAATACTTGATTGTCCAGTGCCTTGGGATGTCCTCCCGACGTGAAAGGTGCTGTATAGATGTAATATGTTGTTGCTGTCTCTGTCTATTGTGATTTTCCTCACTGAGGGCAGGGAAAGAGGCAAGAGTGGACATCTCTGGGTCTGAGGTGATGTACCTTAGGATAATAAAGAGGGAATGGAGGGATTTGAACCAGGCAGCTCTGCAGTACTCCAGGGCACAGCTCTAATCACTGACCAGCCTGTGGAGCGGAGTAGGGCAGGTGGGGCATTGGGATCAAGGCATCCTGGTCTATTTGAGTCAAGTTCCCAATCAGCCAGGCTAATGAATACTGGATGTTTTAACAAGTGGGTCTGGAATATTAAAGGAAGCAATATAAAGAGCACCGGTCAAGTCCTCATTCAAAATTCAGTCTTGAACACCCAGTCTCAGCAAGCACATACTGGCTTGAAGACTGACCAGTGGCAATTCACTAGTTAAGTGTCTGGGTGGGGGAGGAGGTGTTAGCTATGTTGAGAATGTGGACCCGAGCTGGGGGTTGGGATCAGGAGGGGTGGAGGGCAGGAAGGGTGGGGTTAGGAGGGTGACCGAAGGCGAGTTAGGAGAGTCTTGAGACGGGCCTTGAAGGAGGCGAGGGAGGAGGGACTGTGGGATGGAGTTCCAGAGGGTGGGGGCAGAGAGGCTGAAGGCCTGCCAGCCAATGGTGAGGTGGGCCGGGCGGGGGACATGGAGTAGGCTGGAGCCCGCTGAACAGAGGGAGTGAATCTCTGGTTGAATCTCTGTCCTGACTAGCTTGACTAACCTGCCAGCTAACCTACTGCACTAGGCCTTACACAGAACCCTGAATAAGCTGCTCTCTGGAAGCCTGATAGTGATGTCTAAATGCAGACGAGTGAGTTTGTACTTATTATAGTCTGGATTTTATGGGATTTGAACCATACAGTACGTGGGGGGAGGAGAGGAGACAGAATCAAAGGGGTCACTATCAATGAGATATGATATGGGACAAGTCAACACTGTGAAAGCGCTGGTCACTGGGTTACGCCAATGGTTTCCAGTTTGTGTTATTCGGTGGGGATTAAAGGGCTAAAGTGCTAATCACAACGGTTGTTGTGTTAATTGTTCGGAAGAGGGGTTCGCTCGCTCGCTCGCTCTGTAACTGGGGGCGGGGGGGGGGGTCTCACTGTGTACAGCACAGCCTCTCACTGTGTAACTGGGTTGGGGCCTCTCACTGTGTACAACAGGCTGAGGAGTCTTGTTGCTCACTGTCACTGACTGATAGCCTGTGGGCACTGGCACCTCCTGACCTTAACTGCGACTCTGTACCTGACCTGGACTTGGCTTAACCTGACTCTTCCAACAAATTCACACTCAGAGGGTGTGTGTGTGAATGTCTGAGTGAGTATCTGAGTGTGTCTGAGTGAGTGTTTGAGTGTGTGTATGTATCTAAGAGAGTGTGTGCCTGAGTGTGTGTGTGTGTATGTACGTTGAATGAGTGAATGTGTGTTGAGTGTGTGTGGATTTTGCTGGTTCTACCTTAAACTTATCTGCTGGGATGAACTTATTAATTCCCTACAATGTGGTCTGTTCCTTTCTGTCCAGGTTTGGACTAAAATTAATTTCTGTAACTGTACCCCAACCCTCTGCATTTATTTCCTGGTGAATGTTTGAGAATGTGTCGAGTGTGTGTATGTGTTGAGTGTGTGTTTGAGAATGTGCGTGTATGAGTGTTGAGCATGTGTTGACTGTGTGTGTTGAGTATGCATGTGAGAGTGAGTTTGATGAGAGTAAGGCCGGTATTAAAGGGACTGACTGACCTGTGTGTGTTTTAACCCCAGTAATGTGGATGCTGATGAGGACCAGGGACAGGCTGAGGTTTGATGATTTATTCTAAAGGGGCAATTACACACTTCATCATTAAATACTGGGGTAATTTAACGGGGAAGCGGGGAGGGGGAGGGGGTATCCGAACCCATCACGGAAGCTCCCGGAAAGTCATGACCGACAAGCACTGATAAGCAAGGTTTTCAATTTGTTTCTTAAAATCTCTCTCTCTTTAACGTATAGACTGACTGACACTGGCTGGGTAGCATCTCGAGGTAACTGTGGTTCAGTGGTTCTCTCTCTCTCTCTCAACGTCTCCCTCCCTCTCTTTCCGTCGCTCTCGCTCTCTCTCTCTCTCTCTCTCCCTCCCTCTCTTCCCCCGTTACTTCTGTATCTGAAATATAAAGAGCCTCAGGTTAATGTTTTTGGCGGCGAGCAGCTTGTTACACTCTATGGAGTCTATGATGGGCAGCGGCATGTATTCCGTCTCATTGTTCTCGTTGGTGAAGGCGAAATGGTAGATGACAGGGTTGATCTTGACGTCGTCGTACGGACCTTTGAGCAGGAGGAAAGAGCACTCCATGGGTGATCCTGCCTTGCTCTTCAGGATCAGCTGGAATGAGAGAGTGCGCTTGCAGGACAGGTTGGGGTTGCGTTCGGAGTCGTTGACTCGGGCCTTCAACACCCAGGTCTGGTTCAGCACCGTGAAGCGCGGCGTCTCGTAGTACAGCCGGGTGATGAAGTCATCCGTCCGGTAAGGTCTAAACTGCACTTCTGTGGAGAGGAGGGGAAACGGGGAGAGAGCAAGAGGCAAGTGTCAGATAGACTGATAAGAGTCCTGACTTACAAAGCAAAGCTCTAACCAACACACTACAGTGCAGTCCTGTAGCTCAGTGATTAGAGCCCTCGCCTCACAAGCGAGAAGACCTGGGTTTGGTTCCCGGGCAGGGCAAAACCTTAGGCAAGTTTCCTTACTCCACACACCTCTGTTTACCAGCAGTAAGTAAGAACCCGGCTATTTGTCAATTGGTGAATCGCTTTCCAGGGGTAATAATCCCTTCAAAAAAGAATAATAATTTGGTCACTCAATTTGGTCACGGCTGTTTGTGGGACGCTGCTGTGCACAATTGGCTGCTGCGTTTCACCGACAAAATATACAGTCAATTCTCTTTACAGTACATCCCGTGAAGCGCTTTGAGAAGCCTCAACGACGTGATAAGGCGCTGTATCAAATGCAAAGATTATTTGTAAGCGCAGACTCTTCAGTCTTGAGAGACGATGACTCAGAGAGGACCTCATAGAGGTGTATAACATTGTAATTGAAAATGTAAACCCAGATCATTACATTAGTATGTGTCAAGACAACAGATCAACAGGTCACAGGTTTAGAGGTGTAAAGGGGCAATTTCAGGACAGACACCAGGAAGTGTTTCTTTACCCAGAGGGTAATTAACGGCTGGAACAGGGTTGGGCAGGAAGGGTGGTTGAGGCCCGGACACTGCGACTTGTTTAAACAGCTGCTTGATGCTGTGATGGGGGGATGGTATGATTCTACCGTTAAGTGCTCTGGGACGGTACTGCACGTGAGGAGTGTTATATAAACGCAAGTTGTTGTAGGTGGGTATTCTGAAGGGAGTTGTTGTTGTTGTTGCCGTTGTCGTCGGGTGGGTGTTCTGGAGGGAGGAGATCGGATGGACTTCTCCATCCCAACTGATCCTGGGCCGAGCTCACAAATACGTGCAGTACTACCCCGTACTGCAGGTGGCGCACCGCCCGGTTAGTCTCAGCGTTGCTGCAGTTTTACACTGAACTACCCACAGCTTCCAGCAGAGAGCAGTACAGAGGGCACAATCAGACACCAGTAACAATCCGGCATTTCACACAGCGCCTCATCACATCGTCGAGGCGTCTCAAAGCGCTTCACAGGATACACTGTAAAGTGAGTTGACTGCATTTTGTGGGTGAAACGCGGCAGCCAATTGCACGCAGCCGCGTCCCACACACAGCCGTGGGTTCAGTGAACAAATTATTACTATTTTTTTTTGAAGGGATCATCACCCCCGGAAAAGCGATGCACCAATTGACCGGGTTACTACTTACTGCTGGTAAACAGAGGCGTGTGGAGTAAGGAAACGTGCCCGGTGTTTCGCCCGCCTGGAATAGAACCCAGGTCCTCTCGGTTGCGAGGTGAGGGATCTAACCGAGAAGCTACGGGACTCCAAGCTACAGGACTATAGCACTTACTGCTGCACTCAGGGCTTGAATCTTCCTTTTTTTTTGCACAGGAAATTGCTGGGAAAGAGTACAACAAAATGAGAGCATTGAGATAATGAAGCTTTATGTGGAGCTCTGTCTAATTGTGTGTCTCTCTGCTCTCTATCTCTCTGTATGTGTGTGTCTCTCTCTCTGCCCCTCTCTGTACATGTCTTTGTCTCTGTCTCTTTAACTGTGCCTATGAGTGTCTCTCTCTGATTCTAACTCTGTATGTGTGTATCTCTCTCTGCCTCTCTAACTGTGTGTGTGTATCTCTCCCTCTATCTGTCTAATAGACAGCCAACACACAATAACAACAACAACAAGATTTCATTTATAGAGCGCCTTTCACGTCCGGAGGACGTCCCAAGGCGCTGGACAGTTGGGTCAGGACCCGAGCATTGGGGGGAAATGGTGAGGGGAGGGAAGGGAGGGAGCGAGGAGGAGGGAAATGGTCAGGAGGAGGGGAGGGAGGGGAGGCGAGGAGGGGGGAAATGGTCAGGGTGAGGGGAGGGAAGGGAGGGAGCGAGGAGAGGGTAGAGAGTCGAGAGCGGAGCTGAAGGCTGAAGGTCAAAGAGAAAGGTTTTGAGACCGGCCTTGAAGGAGGAAAAGGAGGAAGCGGCGAAGGCACTGGGGATGGAGTTCCAGAGCCTCAGGGCTGAGAGGCTGAAGGCCACCGATGGTAGGGCGGTTGGGGCGGGGGATGTGGAGCAGACCGGAGCCAGAGGAACGGAGGGTACGGGCAGGTAAGTGGGGGATAGTAGGTCAGAGAGGTAGGAGGGAGCGAGGCCGTGAATGGCCTTGTAGGTGAGGATGAGGAGGGAGGGCCGGGAAGGCCGACGAGGAGAGAGTTCCCATAGTCCAGCCTTGAGGTGATAAAGGTGTGGACCAGAGTTTCAGCCGCGTGAGGGGTGAGGTAGTGCCGTAGTCTGGCGATGTTCCGGAGGTGATGGAAGGCGGTGCCAGTTGTGGTGCGGATATGAGGAAGAAAGGACAGCTCAGGGTCGAACAGAACCCCGAGGTTCCTGATGGCTTTGAGAGGTGGAGAGTGCAGCCTTGGATGCTGATGGTGTCGGCGCCTGAGGTGCGGAGGCGCTGACGTGAGCCAATCAGGAGGGCCTCAGTTTTGCGCACGTTGAGCTGAAGAAAGTTGTCTCTCGTCCAGGACTCGATGTCGGACAGGCAGCTGTCAGGACATCGGTGGTCGTGGAGTTGAGGGTAGAGGAGGAAAGGTAGAGTTGGGTGTCATCCGCATACATGTGGAAGTTAACCCCATGTCTGCGGATGATGTCACCACAGGGGGAGCATATAGAGGGTGAAGAGGAGGGGACCGAGGACAGAGCCCTGAGGGACACCGCACGAGACAGTGCGGGCGGTGGAGGAAAGCCGTTCGTGGAAACAAAGTGAAGACGGTGGGAGAGGACGACCTAAACCACTCAAGGACAGGGCCTTGAAGGTTGAGGTGGGAGGACAAGCGGTGGAGGAGGATAGAGTGGTCGACCGTATCGAATGCGGCCGATAGGTCGAGGAGGACGAGGAGGCAGAGGGAGCCCTGGTCGCAGATGGTCAGGATGTCATTGGTGACCTTGACCAGGGCAGTTTCTGTGCTATGGGCAGCACGGAAACCCGACTGAAGGGGTTCGAATAATGAATGGGTGGAGAGGAAAGAGCGCAGCTGGGAGGCGACAACTCGTTCCAGGACCTTGGACAGGAAGGGGAGGTTGGAGATGGGCCGGTAGCTTGATAGCTGCGACGCATCAAGGGAGGGTTTTTTTAAGGTGGGAGTGATGGTGGCAGTTTTTAGGGGAATGGGAATAGAGCCACAGGAGAGGGACAGGTTAATAGTGTCTGTGAGAAGTGGGGCAAGGAGGTGGAGCTGGGAGATAAGGAGTGGAGTGGGGATGGGGTCAAGGGAGCAGGTGGTGGGTTTCAGGGACAGGATGAGATTGATGACAGAGGGTGGGGAAACGGGTACAAAGATGTGTAGGGGAGGATGGGTAGGAGTCGGAGTGTGGGAGGGAGGGGGTGGGTGGATGTTGGAGGGGAAGTGACCGCGGAGCGGATTCCCTTGATTTTGGATTCAAGGAAATCCAGCATCTCCTCGCAGTGAAGGTTGGAGGAGATGACCTGCGCGGGGTGGCGGGGGGGACCGAGGAGTTGGGATGTGGTGGAGAACAGAAGCCTGGGGTTGTTCTTCGCCTCCAGGATTATCCTGGAGTAGAAGGACGACTTGGCCGAGGCTAGAGTGGAGCGGTAGATTTTGAGGAGGTCCAGCCAGATTTGTCGGTGGACCGTTAGGCCAGATTTGAGGCAGGTGCGTTCAGCGGCCCGCACCTGGCTCTTCAGTGAGCGGAGGTGGGTGGTGAACCAGGGGGAGGAGCGGGAGTAGGAGACAGTACGGGAGGTGATGGGGGCAAGAGTGTCAAGTGTGGAGGAGAGGGTGTTGTGGAGGAGGGTGAGAGCAGAAGAGGGGTCAGTGAGGGTTGAAGGCCAGAGGGAGAGGAGTTCAGAGGACTCCAAGGCAGCGGTTAGGGATTGTGGGGGTAACTTCTTCCAGGGGCGGTAGAAGATGGTGGTGGGTCTGGTGGAGGTGGGGAGGGGGTGGAGGTGGTGAAGGAGATGAAGTGGTGATCGGAGATGGCCTTGTCGGTAATGGTGACATCCGAGACACTGAGGCCCCGGGTGATCACCAAATCGAGTGGGTGGCCGTGACTGTGAGTGGCGGAGTTGATGTGGAGGGAGAGGTTGAGCGAGGAGAGGAGGGAGGAGAAGTCAGAGGAGATGGAGCAGGAGGGGGTGAAGTGCAGGTTGAAGTCGCCCAGGATGATGAGGCGATCAGAGCAGAGGCAGAGAATGTTAGTAGGGTAAAAATATCGGCAAAATACACAGCAAAATAGAAGCTCATAGTATTAAAGGGACAGTGGCAGCGGATACAGAACTGTCTGAGAGACAGAAAGCAGAGAGTGGTGGTGAACGGTTGTTTTTCTGACTGGAGGGAAGTGTGCAGTGGTGTCCCCCCGGGGGTCAGTATTGGGGCCACTGCTGTTTGTGATCTATATAAATGACCTGGACCTGGACTTGGGTATATGGAGCACAATTCCCAAGTTTGCAGGTGACACTAAGCTGGAAACAGTAGTAAACAGTGAGGGGGATAGTAACCGACTGCAAGAGGATAGAGACAGACTGGTAACACGGGCAGACACGTGGCAGATGGAGTTTAATGTGGAGAAATGTGAAGTGATGCATTTTGAGAGGAAGAATGAGGAGAGGCAATATAAGCTGATGGTACAGTCTTAATGGGGTGAAGGGACAGAGAGACCTGGGGGTCATATAGTAAATCTCTGAAGGTGGCCGGACAGGCAGATACAGCTGTTAAAAAAGCATCCGGGATACTCGGCTTTATAAATAGGGCATAGAATACACAAATCAGGAAGTTATGATGAACCTTTATATAAAACACCGGTGAGGCCTCAGCGAGAGACTGGGTTCAGTTCTGGGCCCCACACAGGATGTCAAGGCATTGGAGAGGGTGCAAAGGAGATTGACCAGAATGGTACCAGGAATGAGGGACCTCAGTTATCAGGAGAGGTAGAGAAGCTCGGATTATTCTCCTCGGAGCAGAGAAGGTTAAGAGGAGACTTAATAGAAGTTTTCAAAATGATGAGGGGATTCGATAGGGTGAACGAGGAGAAACTATTCCCACTGGCGGTGGGTCGGTAACCCGAGGACACCCATTTAAAATAGCTGTTAAAAGAAACAGAGGGGAGGGGAGGAGAAATGTTTTTACACAGCGAGTTGTTGGGGTCTGGAATGCATTGGCTGAAAGGCCGGTGGGAACCGATTCGATAATGGCTTTTGTGTGGGGGAGTGGGGTTGATCAGGGCTATGGGGAGAGAGCGGGGGAGTGGGGTTGATTTGGAAGCTCTTTTCAAAGAGCCGACAGACACATTGGGCCAAATGGCCTCCAGTGACTGGTCGGCCCTTCCAGGTCGTGCTGATGAGCCGGGCCGGGCTGTGCTATCATCAGCAGTGAGTGCCCTGGAATACTGCGGCCCCTCCTGGCTCAGGAACCGGACTGGAGACCGTTGTGTTGTGCAGTGTTACCTGTGTAGCCGATCTTCTCGAAGCTCAGCAGGTTGAAGATGCTGTTGTACAGCTGCATCTCTTTCCTGTGTGTTTGGTCCATTCCATCCAGAATCTCCATCAGCTCATTGCCTGTCTTGCTCGGATGTCCACACTCTGCTTCATGTACCGTCAGCTCATGGTAGGGTCCCAGCCAGGGGCAGCCAATCCGCTTGTACTTGCACTGTGTCACCCTGCGGGGAGGGAAGCGGGGGGGGAGGGGGGAAGTGGGGGGGGGTTAGGGAGGTGGTGGGAGGGTGGGAGAACAACAGACGGAGAATAAAAATAATAATAATACTAATCCTCACATTTCATACAGTGCCTTACACGGCTTCGAGACGTCTCAAAGCGCTTCACAGGACACACTGTAAAGTGAATTGACTATATTTTGTGGAGGAAACGCGGCAGCCAATCGTGCACAGCAGCGTCCCACAAACAGCCGTGGATTAAGTGACCAAATTATTCATTTATTTATTTACTGAAGGGATTATTAACCCCCGAAAAGCAATCCACCAATTAAGTAACAACAGGGTTCCTGCTTACTACTGGTAAACAGAGTCATGGGGAGTAAGGAAACTTGCCTAAGGCTTTGCCCTGCCCGGGAATCGAACCCAGTTCCACTCGCTTACGAGGCGAGGGCTCTCACCACTGAGCTACAGGACTGCGCGAATTAGACTCAGTTTGCAAAGTGTCCCCCAGGCTGAGCAGGTGCCACTGTCCCGTGTTCGGAGCCTGTTCCCCCGGGAACCATCTCTGCATTGTGAACACTCCCCGCCACACACCACACAGGATCATACTCCACACCACAAGACAAGGGGCAACCAAACACAGAGCCTTACAGCACAGAAACAGGCCCTTCAGACCATCCAGGCTGGAGCTGGGAGTTTGTGTGCGTGTGAGCTGGTCAAATCCCATTTTCCCATTCATTTGCTCCCTCGTCGGGGGCTGTGTATGTGTGTGGGGGGGTCTGAATCTGATTACATCCTCGCAGGACACCCCCTCCCCACCCCATATCCTCCAATTAGAGTCGAACTGTTTCTTAAATACATCCCAGTGACCCGGCCTCAGTCGCCCTCCCTGATGAGCACGGTTCCAGACGTTAATTGTTAATAATAATATTAATAATAATAATCTTGCATTTGATTTGGCATTTTAATCACATCCCTGAGACGTCTCGAAGCTCTTCATAGAATATACTGTAATTTAATAACCGGTTGTTAGTCGATTGGTGGATAATAATAATAATAATAATCCTTGCATCTGATACAGCGCCTTATCATGTCTGCGAGGCGTCTCAAAGCGCTTCACAGGATATACTGTAAAGTGAATTGACTGTATATTTGTGGGCGAAACGCGGCAGCCAATTGCGCACAGCAGTGTCCCACAAACAGCCGTAGATTGAGTGACCAATTTATTATTTTTATTATTTTTGAAGCAATTATTACCCCTGGAAAAGTGATATTCAGTGTTTATTATTATTTTTTATTATTTATTTATTATTACCCCTGGAAAAGTGTAGCTCAGTGGTTAGAGCACTCGCCTTGCAATCGAGATACTTGGGTTCGATTCCCGGCAGGGCAAAACCTTGGGCAAGTTTCCTTACTCCACATGTCTGATAATAATCCCTCAAGAAAAAAATAATAAATTGGTCACTTAATCCACATTGTTTGTGGGACACTGCTGTGCGCAATTGGCTGCCGCGTTTCACCCACAAAATACAGTCAATTCACTTTACAGTATAGTCTGTGAAGCACTTTGAGCGTCTAGAAGACGTGAAAAGCGCTATATCAGATGCAAGGATTATTATTATTATTATTATCCACCAATCGACTAACAACCGGGTCCCTACTTACTGCTGGTAAGCAGAGGCGTGTGGAGTATGGAAACTTGCCTAAGGTTTCACCCTGCCCAGGAATCAAACCCGGGTCCTCTCGCTTGTGAGGCGAGTGCTCTAACCACTGGGCAAGAGGATTCCACACTATTTTACTATTGAGCAATCTTACACTATTATGTGAAAAGCAACTCCATATAAGTTACACGGTTCTTTGAGATTTTATCCATCTGGTCAGCTGACCATTATACTCCCATAATCCACACGTGTTTTTCACTCACTTTGCCCTGGAGTAAGTATTCCTTGAGATTCTAGCATTTTTTTAACTCTTACTCTGCAGTAACTAATCCTTCTAATACTTGATATAATCTCACTCCCTTTGCCCCATATCCCTGACCTAACAAAACTCTATCCCCTTGAAAATGTGAATGGATCCACAGCCATAATCCACAGCGTTATTGTGGGAGAGAGTTCCAGATTCCCACTACCGTTTGTGTGACAAACTGCTTCCTGTTTCCACTCCTAAATGGCCGGACTCTAATCTTAAGATGATGGCTCTGGTTCTGGATTCCCCACCAGAGGAAATAGTGTCTCTGTAGCTGCTCTATCAAACCCCTTTATCATTTTATTATTAACTTCAATCAGATCAGCCTCAAACCTTCTAAACTCAAGGGAATACAGACCAAGTTTATGCCACCTGCCCTCGTAATTTAACTCTTTAAGCCCTGGCATTACGTTTCTCATTCCCGCCCACCCCCCCCTCACCTGAAGGTGCTGGCCTGTGCTGGGGAAGCGCGTTCCCGCTGCCCTCCGAAACCTCTCCCATGTGACCATCCTTCAGGTGTGAGCCTAGACAGTGAGTGGCGGCAGGTTATTATACTGTGGGGATCAGCCCTGATTTACTCCCCCGCCCGACCCACCCCACCATCGGCGGTCAGGCCTTCAGCCTCTCTGCCCCCACCGTTTGGAACTCCATCCCACAGTCCACCCGCATCGCCCCCTCCCTCGCCTCCTTCAAGGCACATCTCAAAAGCCTCCTCTTCTACCGCGCCTTCAGTCACCCTCCTACCCCCACCCTCCCTGCCCTCCACCCCTCTTTATCCCAACCCCCAGCTCAGGCACAAATCCCTGACTGTCCAGCGCCTTGGGTCATCGTCCCGATGTGAAAGGCCTGTGTAAATGTCATGTGTTGTTGCCTTTGGCAGCATCTCCTCAGAGACACTTCCAGGAAGACAACACGCACTTCCTTCCCTGACCTCCCAAGGGTGAAGGGCCTAGTGTCCACCCATGAAGCTAGAATCTAGTGACCATTAATTAATAACAATAATAATGCTTGCATTTGATATAGCACCTTATCACGTCTTCGAGACGTCTCAAAGAGCTTCACGGACTACACTGTAAAATGTAGTGACTGTGTTTTGTGGGCGAAACACGGCAGTCAGTTTATGCACAGCAGCGTCCCCACAAACAGCATTTGGAGGATTGTTGTCCAGGACACCGGGAGAGAGAGAGAAACTCCCTTCTCTTTTCCAATAGTCCCGCGGGATCTTTACCATCCACCTGAACAGGCAGACGGGACCTCGGGTTAACGTCTCCTCCCACAATGCGACCCCCCCCAGTGCTGTATTGGAGCATCAGCTTAGACTGTGTGATTCCAAGTCCTGACGTGGAGCTTGAACCCACAACCTCCTGATTGAGAGAGAGCATTACCAAAGTGCCAGACTGACACACATATTAGCTTTCAAAAGGGAACTAAATAGATTTCTAAAAAGAAATAAATTATAGGAGGATGGGGAAAAGGATAGAAAGAATTGATCACAAGATCAATCCATAAGATAAAGACCCAGCTGACCTCATCTAAGTGTCCTGAGCTTAACCACCTTTCCTGGTAACCTGTCCCAAAGAAAAACTTCAGAGACGAGAGAGAGAGAGTGCTACCACCGAGCCAGGTTGACAGGTATTTAACAGGACCTTGGAGAAATAGCTGCTAAGGATGCCTTTGGCATTGCAGTGCTCTCCCAGCTCTGCATTTGAGCTCAAAGTGCCAAAATAGGGCTTGAACCCATCAACCTTCTGAGCCTGACATGAGAGTGTGACCAACTGAGCCAGACAAAGCTTGTGAGGACAAAGTTAAAACTGCAGTAATAATAATAATCTTTGCATGTGATATATCACGTCGTTGAGACGTCTCAAAGCAACAACAAATTACGTGCACACAGCGCTTGCCTTTCACGTCAGGAGGACATCCCAAGGCGCTGGACAGTCAGGATTTAGACCTGAGCTGGGGGTTGGGATCAGGAGGGGGGGGCGGGGGAGGGCAGGGAGGGTGGGGATAGGAAGGTGACCGAAGGCGCGGTTGAAGAGAAGGGTCTTGAGATGGGCTTTGAAGGAGGCGAGGGAGGGAGCGGGTGAAGGTAATGCTGGATTAAGTTCCAAAGGTTGGGGGCAGTGAGGCCAATGGTGGGGCAGACTGGGCAGGGGATGTGGAGCAGGCCGGAGCCTGCTGAGCAGAGGGAGTGGACAGGTCTATATCACAGCCAAAGTGCACCAGAGCCAAAGTGAAGTAAGAAATTCCACTTCAATGTGGATTAAGACATGCCTCCCCCCCCACCCCCTCCCCCATTCAGTACAGTATTTTGCCCCCTCCCTGCATTTCACATTGACAAAAGACAGAAGGGTTTCAGTCCATCCCCATCACAGTGCAACCTGTTTACAGAGGGATTCTGCTCACAGACTGACCGGGTGGGTGGGTTATGCACACAAAGTGCAGTCACTCCTGGAGCTGACACGCCAGCTTCCTGCCTGCACCTGCCCACAGGAAGTCAGTCAGTCAGTGAAGGAAGTGACACTGCGGTGACCTGATGGCCGGGAAGCAAGACGAGCAGCCATTTATATTTTACAGAAAGTTGTACTAATAATAATCTGCTATTTGATTCTGCGCTGTGTTATGTTGAAACATCACAAAACACTTCACAGACTTTTCTGTTTACTCGGGGCAGACGCAGTGACCAAATTGCACATTAGTGCAGTGGTGTCCCCCCGGGGGTCAGTATTGGGACCACTGCTGTTTGTGATCTATATAAATGACCTGGACCTGGACTTGGGTATATGGAGCACAATTCCCAAGTTTGCAGGTGACACTAAGCTGGAAACAGTAGTAAACAGTGAGGGGGATAGTAACCGACTGCAAGAGGATAGAGACAGACTGGTAACACGGGCAGACACGTGGCAGATGGAGTTTAATGTGGAGAAATGTGAAGTGATGCATTTTGAGAGGAAGAATGAGGAGAGGCAATATAAGCTGATGGTACAGTCTTAATGGGGGTGAAGGGACAGAGAGACCTGGGGGTCATATAGTAAATCTCTGAAGGTGGCCGGACAGGCAGATACAGCTGTTAAAGAGCATCCGGGATACTCGGCTTTATAAATAGGGCATAGAATACACAAGTCAGGAAGTTATGATGAACCTTTATATAAAACACTGGTGAGGCCTCAGCGAGAGACTTGGTTCAGTTCTGGGCCTCACACTTTAGGAAGGATGTCAAGGCATTGGAGAGGGTGCAAAGGAGATTGACCAGAATGGTACCAGGAATGAGGGACCTCAGTTATCAGGAGAGGTAGAGAAGCTCGGATTATTCTCCTCGGAGCAGAGAAGGTTAAGAGGAGACTTAATAGAAGGTTTCAAAATGATGAGGGGATTCGATAGGGTGAACGAGGAGAAACTATTCCCACTGGCGGTGGGTCGGTAACCCGAGGACACCCATTTAAAATAGCTGTTAAAAGAAACAGAGGGGAGGGGAGGAGAAATGTGTTCACACAGCGAGTTATTAGGATCTCGAATGCATTGCCTGAAAGGCCGATGGGAACCGATTCCATAACAACTTTTAAGAGAGAAGCAGATACTTATTTGGAGAGGACAAGTTTGCAGAGCTATGGGGAGAGAGCGGGGGAGTGGGGTTGATCAGGGCTATGGGGAGAGAGCGGGGGAGTGGGGTTGATCAGGGCTATGGGGAGAGAGCGGGGGAGTGGGGCTGATCAGGGCTATGGGGAGAGAGCGGGTGAGTGGGGTTGATCAGGGCTATGGGGAGAGAGCGGGGGAGTGGGGTTGATCAGGGCTATGGGGAGAGAGCGGGGGAGTGGGGCTGATCAGGGCTATGGGGAGTGGGATTGATTTGGAAGCTCTTTTCGAGCAGCTGACACAGACACGATGGGCCAAATGGCCTCCTTCTGTGCTGAAACAAAAACAGAAGTCGCTGGGAACACTCAGCAGGTCAGGCAGCATCTATGGAGAAAGGAAAGTGAGTCAACGTTTCGGGTCCACGACCCTTCGTCAAAACGGGTAATTCTATGATTCTACGAATGACTGATTATATTTTATCAGGGGGATTGTCGGCTGGGGCACTGGGAGAGAGAAACTCCCTTCTCTTTTCAAATAGCGTTACAAGATCTTTAACATCCACCTGAACAGGCAAATGGGACCTTGGTTTAACGTCTCACCTGAAGGACAGCGGCTACAGCAATGCAGAGCTCCCCCAGCACTGCACTAGAGTGTCAAAAATACTATAATGCTTGCATTTGACACAGCTGTTTATGTACAACAACAACAAAATTACATTTGTTAAACGCCTTTCACTTTGTTTTGGACCCGAGCTGGGGGTTGGGATCGGGTGTGTGGAGGGCAGAGGGGAAAGTAGGGTGATCAAAGCCAAGTTCAAAGAGGAGGGTCTTGAAATGTTTTTAAAGGAGGCGAAGGAGGGTGCGAGGCAGAGGGACTGCAGGATGGAGTTCCAGAGGGTGTGGGCAGCGTGGCAGAAGGCCGCCCGCCAATATTGGGGTGGGCGAGGCAAGGGGACATGAAGCAGGCCGGAGCCCGCTGAGGGGAGGGAGCGAGCAGGATGGGAGGGGGTTAGGAGGTGGCAGAGGTCGGGGGGAGCAAGACCACAGAGGGCTTTGAAGGTGAGGACCAGGATCTTGGACTGTACCCTCTGTGTGATGGGAAGCCAGTGGAGTCGGGTGAGGATGGGGGTGATAGGGTCACGGAGCCGGTGCGGGAGAGGACACGGGCTGCAGAGTTCTGGATGATCTGCAGTCTGTGGAGGAAGGAGTTGGGGGCCGACAAGCAGTGAGTTTGCACAGTCGAACCTCGATGTAATGAAAGCGTGTGTGAGGGTTTCTCTAATGAATACACTACAAGACTTTACATGACCCAGAGTCCAGAGGGCTAGTTACTGCCAGGCTGACACTTCATAAGAAAGGTTCGATTTGATGGACCCAAACCTCCTGTTATAATAGGGTTGCACAGTATATGTGCATACATGGAATGTGTATCATGAGCTGTTAACCACGGAGCCGAGAGCTTCTGTCCACATGAAAAGGATCTCAGTCCAGAAAGCAAACTGAACAGCAAACGGCTGCTTTCCATTTTGATGCAGAATAACAAGTTGTAACGCTTCAGTGCCCTTCAAGTAAAATAAACGTGCTTCACAAAGTGCTTCACAAAACAGGATCCATTACAAATGAAGTGAACACCTGTAATACAGGCAAACGCAGCAGCTACTTTTTACCACAGACAGTGAGGTGAGCTGTGAGGTGAGCTGCCAGGTAAAGTGAACTTGAGGCTGATTTTATTACAATAATAATCCTGGCATTTGATACAGCACCTTATCATGTTGTTGAGACGTCTCAAAGCTCTTCACAGAACATACTGTAATGTGGATTAACTGTGTATGTTGTGGGCGAAATTTAATATAAATACAGGTTACTATATATTTTGGTATATATCCACTCAGCCGGCTCTGGCCTCCTGTTTGTCCCTCGTCCCCTCCGCTCCACCATCGCCGGCCGTGCTTTCAGCCACTACACCCTGAAACTCTGGAACCCTCTCCCTCAATCCCTCCGCCTTGCCCCTCCCTCCCTCCCTCCCTCCCCACCTTCAAATCCCGTCTAAAGACCTTCCTTTATGATGGTGCTGATGGTCACCACCCACCTCCCTCTCCCCTTCCCTCTCCCCCCTTCCCTCTCCCCCCTCCCTCTCCCTCTCCCCCGGCTCGGGGTCAGACTCCGCCACTGGGAAGCGCTCTGGAACGCTACCCCATGTGAAGGCCACTGTACAACTGCAAGTTGTTGTTGAGGAAAATAAAAGCTGTGAGCGATGGTGGGGAATTTGTCCCTGAATCACAAGGCAGACACGACCTAAACTAGTGATAATAAAAGAGGTGCTGACCTGATAGTAACGAGCAGCCCAGTACTGAATACAACAACAAGAACTTATATAGCACCCACTATGCAGGGCAGCGTCTCAGAGCTTAACAGTGGCAGAACCTGACTCCGAGCCGGGGGGGAAGATGGCCTTGAGCACTGTCGAAGAGGAAGGTTTTCAGGTGGGACTTGAAAAAGGGTAGAGAGGAGCACGGCAGAGAGACCGAGGGGGAGAGTTCCAGAGTTTCAGGCTGTAGTGGCTGAAAGCGCAACCTCTGATGGTGGGGCGGAGGGTGCGAGGGACGAGCAGGAGCTGGTGCCAGTCGAGCGGAGGCGTCTGGTGGTAGATTGGAGAGTGAGGGGGTCGGAGAGGTGGGGAGTGAGGGGGTCGGAGAGGTGGGGAGTGAGGGGGTCGGAGAGGTGGGGAGTGAGGGGGTTGGAGAGGTGGGGAGTGAGGGGGTCGGAAAGGTGGGGAGTGAGGGGGTCGGAGAGGTGGGGAGTGAGGGGGTTGGAGAGGTGGAGAGTGAGGGAGTTGGAGAAGTGGAGAGTGAGGGGATCAGAGAGGTGGAGAGTGAGGGCGTCGGAGAGGCGGGGAGTGAGGGGGTCGGAGAGGTGGGGAGTGAGGGGTCGGAGAGGTGGGGAGTGAGGGGGTCGGAGAGGTGGGGAGTGAGGGGGTCGGAGAGGTGGGGAGTGAGGGGGTCGGAGAGGTGGGGAGTGAGGGGTCGGAGAGGTGGGGAGGTGCCAGGGAGTGAAGGGATTTGAACACGAGAGTGAGAGCATCTTGAAGTGGATGTGTTGGGTGATGGGGAGCCAGTGGAGCCTGGGCCAGAGCGGGTGAGATGTGGGGATGGAGTTTGGTTCAGGTCAGTGTGTGGGCGGCAGAGTCTGAATGAGATGATCTTGTGAACAGTGGAGCTGAGGAGACCGGCGAGGAGGGGGTTGCAGTAATCCAGGGGGAGGTGACAAACACATGCACAAGGACTTCGGCTGCATATGGGGGTAAGGTACGGTCGGAGGTGGGCAATGTGGCGGAGGTGGAGGAAGGCCTCCTGGTCAGGGACCGGATGTGGAGGAGGAAGGACAGCTGGGGGATTGCGCATTGGTTCGGTGAGTGTGAGGGGGAACCCAGTACTGAATACACAATGTTCTGACGGCAGTAAAGACTTCACTGGCTCGGCTCACGTAAGGTAAAGGCCACACAGACCTACCTCTGAGGGCATTGCTGTAGCTGATGAACTTTAACCTTTGGCGTAGAATCAAAGGGTTTCACAATACACTATCCATTGGCTCTCAGTGATGTTCATTCAACCCACTTCCCCTCCTCCCCCCCTCACTGTACCATATCCCTTCAAGCCTCGATCCTTCATACACCTGTCCTCCTCCCTCTTCAAACCCACACTGGACTCTGCCTCTTGGCTTTAGTTTTTTTAAGGGAATAATAATCCTTACATTTGATACAACGCCTCATCACGTCTTTGAGACGTTTCAAAGCGCTTCACAGGATATACTGTAAAGTGAATTGACTGTATATTTGTGGGTGAAACATGGCAGCCAGTTGTACACAGCAGGTAAAGTGATCCGCACATCGATTAACAACCGGGTTCCTACTTATTGCTGGTAAACAGAGGCGTGCGGAGTAAGGAAACTTGCCCAACATTTTGCCCTGCCCAGGAATCAAACCCGGGTCCTTTCGCTTGTGAGGCGAGAGCTCTAACCATTACACTACAGGACTCCACTATAAGCAAACAGAGTGAAGACATTTCCAGGCCCCCTGTCATTTAGGGGCCTGGCTCTCACACACACACAAACACACCCACACACATACCCACACACACAAACACACCCACACACATACCCACACACACAAACACACACACACACATACCCACACACACAGACAGACAGAAACACACAAACACACCCACACACATACCCACACACACAGACAGAAACACACACACACCCACAGACAAACACAGACATACACACCCACGAACAAACACACACACACACAGAGAAACACACACATACACACACCCACCCACAAACATACACACAGACACACACTCACGCACAAACCCACCTACAGACAATCACAGACACACACACATACCCACAGACAAATACACCCACACACAGCCTCCCCACCCGCCCTGTGCACTGGCTTGTGTACGTACTCCCTTTGCACTTGGTTACCACGCTGCCTGCTTGTGAGTTCCGAGGAGGGTAAGGCATTACCTGTCCTGGCAATCTTCCTTCTGGTGGGTCTCCAGAACGGAGCGTGGGAACTGCTTCAGGCAGAAGCCGCACTCGCTGGGCAGCTCGCTCACTGCCTTCTCCACGGCCAGGTTGCGGCAGCACAGGCTCTTGCTGATCTCACAGCGGCAGTTTGGGCAGGTGGCCTGCTCCTCCTTCAGCCTGGCGTCAGCCAACAGGTGTATAAAACAGCCAGCGCACATCAAGTGACCGTTCGTGCACTGCCGGGCGGAAAGAAAACTTACATTTATACCATGTTTGGACACTTGCCGTAAGACTGTCTGTTGTTGTTGTTGCTGTAAACATGAGGGAGGACAGTGCTGGGGAATGGAGCACTGGTCAGGACAGCTCACAGCACTCCTTCTTGTAAATGTACCCGATCCATCCTCAGAACCATCCCCCTCTCCGGTGAGCTCCTGATCACCGTACTTACTGTTCTGGTGGCCACTCACGGGCAGACTGTCTGTCGTATTAGTGCCTCTCTGTGCTGTATGTAAAGGGAACTTAAGTTAGTGCCTTTCAATAATAATAATCCTTGCATTTGATATAACGCTTTATCACATCGTCGAGACCTCTCAAAGCACTTCCTGTATATGTGTTCCTCCCTCCCTCTGTCAGACACTGTTTCACTCTCTCTCACTCTCTCTCTCTCTGTCTTCCTCCCTCTGTTGACCCCATGTCTGTGGATGGCATCACCAAGGAGCAGCGTGGAAATGAGAAAAAGGAAGTGCCAAGGATAGAGCTTTCGAGTCCCCGCAGGTGACCGTGGGGAGGGGAGGGGCTGGAGGAGAAACTGTTTGCGGAGATGAAGTGATGGTAGTGGGTCAAGTGGGACTTGATCTAGGAGAGCGGTCCCTCTGAGGTGGATGAGGGAGGAGAGGTGGTGGAGGAGGATGACGTGGTCAACTGTGTCAAACCAGCGGAGAGATTCAGGAGGATGAGGAGGTAGAGGGAGCCCCGGTCACAGAGAGAGTGAACGTCGTTTGTGACTGTGAATGAGCGCCGTCTCTGTGCTGTGGGCAGAATGAAAACCAGACTGGATGGGCTCGAGGAGGGACTTGAGGAGGGAGTGGAGGGGCTCGAGGAGAGAGTGGAGGGGCTCAAGGAGTGGAGGGGCTCGAGGAGAGAGTGGAGGGGCTCGAGGAGAGATTGGAGGGGCTCAAGGAGAGAGTGAGGGGCTCGAGGAGAGATTGGAGGGGCTCAAGGAGAGAGTGAGGGGCTCGAGGAGAGAGTGGAGGGGCTCGAGGAGGGAGTGGAGGGGCTCGAGGAGGGAGTGGAGGGGCTCGAGGAGGGAGGGGAGGGGCTCGAGGAGGGAGTGGAGGGGCTCGAGGAGGGAGTGGAGGGGCTCGAGGAGGGAGTTGAGGGGCTCGAGGAGAGAGTGAGGGGCTCGAGGAGAGAGTGGAGGGGCTCGAGGAGAGAGTGGAGGGAGAGGTGTGAGAAGTTAGTTGTTAACAACACATTCCAGGACTCTGGAGATGATGAGGGGGGAAGTTGGAGATGGATGGGTTTGTGAATTTTGAAGGACAAAAAGTGGGTTTTAGAGGAGGGGCTGATGACAGGGGTTTTGAAGGAGAGTGGGATAGTGGTGGAGGAATGGGACTGGTTGACTGTGTGCATTAGCAAGGGGCAAAAGAGGGGCATTTGGGTATGGAGGGGATCAAGGCAGCAGGTGGTGGGTTTCCTACGGCATATATCGCAAACAAGAGGACCTGGGTTTGATTCCTGGCGGGGCAAAAGCTCAGGGGAGTTTCCTTACTCCGTAGGCTTCTGTTTACCCAGCAGTAAGTAGTAATCCAGTTGCTGGCCAATTGGCTTTCTGGGGGTAATAATACCTACAAAAATATAATAATTTGGTCGCTCAATCCATGACTGTTTGTGGGACGCTGCTGTGCGCAATTGGCTGCCACGTTTTGCCCACAAAATATACAGACAATTCACTTTGCAGTATATTCTGTGAAGCGCTTTGGGTGGTCTCCACGACATGATAAATTGCTGTATCAAATACAAGGATTATTATATGGGTAATGATGGTTGTGAGGACCAATTATTATTTGGGGGATTATTCTGTGGAGTCCTCTAGAGTAGTATTTGAGCACTTGTCTTGGAACCGGAGTTTAATTCCCAGGCAGGGTGAAACCTTAGTAAAGATCCCTTACTTCACACACACGTTTCTGTTTACCTCGCAGTAAGCACGAACCTGCTTCTTAGTTGATGCTTTCCAGGTAATAATCACTTCAAAAACTAAATATTAATAATTTGGTCACTCAATCCACCTCTGTTTGCATTGAATGACCAAATTGACGCAATTGGCTGCCACGTTCCACCCACGAAACACAGTCACTCCACATTACAATTTATCCTGTGAAGCGCTTTGAGGCGTCTCAACGAGGTGACGAGGCGCTGTATCAAATGCAAGGAATATTATTAATACAAAACGGTAAGAATAAGACCTTTTCTCAAAACATCACCTTGAAAGAGGGGATGATCCAAAGAAAAAGTCTTGTTATAATAAACCTCGAAGTCCTGTAGCTCAGTGGTTAGAGCACTCGCCTCGCAAACGAGAGACCTGGGTTCGATTCCCGGCCAGAGGAAACCTTGGGCAAGTTTCCTTACACCACACACACGCCTGATAATAATCCCTCAAGAAAAAATAATTGGTCACTCAATCCGTGACTGTTTGGGACATTGCTGTGCGCAATTGGCTGCTGCGTTTCGCCCACAAATATACAGTCACTACACTTTACAGTATATTCTGTGAAGCGCTTTGAGATGTCTAGTAGATATGGTAAGGCGCTATTTCAAATGTAAAGATTATTATTATTATAAACCAATATTATTTGGGGGATTGTTGTCCGGGACACCGGGAGAGAGAGAGAAACTCCCTTCTCTTTTCCAATAGCCCCGCGGGATCTTTACCATCCGCCTGAACAGGCAGACGGGACCTCGGGTTAACGTCTCATCTGAAGGATGGGAGACTGAAGACTGTGAGGAGTGTTAGTTGCCGGAGAATCCTCACAGCAGAGTGTGTAGGAGATGAAGCCTGATTCTGGAAAATTCGAAAGCAACGTCACATCAACTCAATTCTAGAGTAGGAAGGACTGAAACCATGTCTTGCTCAAAGACTGACAGCTCAACCTGGAGCTGTTCATGTCACGAGCACAGCTATTATAATAACAATCCTTATATTTGATACAGCATCTTAACACGTCTTCGAGACATCTCAAAGCGCTTCACAGAATATACTGTAATGTGAATTGACTATATATTTTGTGGGAGAAACATGACAGCCAATTGCGCACAGCAGGTCCCACAAACAGTCGTGGATTGAGTGACCAAATTATTATTATTATTTATTTAGTTATTTTTGAAGAGATGATTACCCCCGAAAAGTGATCCGGCAATCGATTAACAATCGGGTTCCTACTGATTGCTGGTAAACTGAGGCGTGTGATGGAAGGAAACTTGCCTATGGTTTCACCCTGCCCGAGAATCGAACCCAGGTCCTCTTGCTTTGCGAGGCGAGGGCTCTAACCACTGAGCTACAGGACTCCAGATTCAGTGATGCTCCCACCTTTGAGACTGTGGGCGTATGTTGTCTGAGGTCTGTGGTGAATCAATGAATGACAAGGGGGTTAGTGTATGTAGAAGAGTAACACGGGGCCTCTATATGGAAAGCCTGCAAAATGGTTAAGCAATTAGGACTGCAGAGACAGCAAGGTTTTCTATTGAATTCCATTTTCAGTGTAGAACAGTCACATTTGACAACCGGCTGAGACTTTGCGAATCAGAGGGGTGGAATTTTATAGTATTAGTATCAGCAAAATAAAAAATTGTCATCAGTAGTTAAAGAGACAGAAGCACCACTGAGATCACTTCACTGCAACCAGACACATCTACAGAGAGGGTGGTCCTCGCTGGACAAGCAGCGGGAAAGCTTGCCAGACAGCGATAACAATGGCAAACAATGTGGTTTTAACTGGTTAGACCTCAGCCATTATTCCAAAGCAGACTCTGGGGTCCCCAAGCCTTGATCCTTGCCAACCGGCACCTAATACCCTCTGGAATTAGGTAAACAGGATGAGTCCCTCCAGGGAGAGAGGGCGCATTCCAACTCCAACAATCGATCTCTGGGATTACCATGTGTAGGTGGGATAATAATAATAATAATCCTTGCATTTGATATAGTGCTTTTTACATCTTCCAGACGTCACAAAGCACTTCACAGAATACAATGTAAAGTGAATTGACTGTATATTTTGTGGGCAAACCACGGCAGCCAATTGCACACAGCAGCGTCACACAAACAGTTGTGGATTGAGTGACCAAATTATTATTTTTTTCTTAAGGGATTTCTTCAGGCGTGTGGAGTAGGGAAACTTGCCCATGGTTTCGCCCAGTTGGGAATCCAACCAGATCTCTCGCTTGCGATTCTACAGGGATGTATAGAAATCTCAGTTTTATTTGGAGGCTGTGAAGCATGGTGATGGGTTTCCACATGTGTTAGACACTCGGCTGGGCAAAAAAAAGACACATCTATGCTACGCTAAGAGCGTTGGGTGCTAGAGTCACTCAATGGGAATCGTCACCCACCACCCCTTCTCCCACTGAACTCGAACCTCTATCAGAGTCCCAAAGTTTTTCCACTTAGAACTGAAAGGCCCATCTCTGTGCTAAAGAGATTCCTGTAAGGAAGGCTGCCAGGGCCTCAGGGTCATCTTCACATATAATTCATGTTAACATTACTCACCATCGATAATATTAATCCTTGTGTTTGATACAGAGTCTTATCACTTTGTTGAGGCGTCTCAAACCGCTTCACAGAATATCATAGAATCATAGAATTATACAGCACAGAAGGAGGCCATTCGGTCCATCATGTCTGTGCTGACTCTTTGAAAAGAGCTTCGAAATCAATCCCACTCCCCCGCTCTCTCCCCATAGCCCTGATCAACCACACTCCCCCGTTCTCTCCCCATAGCCCTGATCAACCCCACTCCCCCGCTCTCTCCCCATAGCCCTGATTAACCCCACTCCCCCGCTCTCTCCCCATAGCCCTGATCAACCCCACTCCCCCGCTCTCTCCCCATAGCCCTGATCAACCCCACTCCCCCGCTCTCTCCCCATAGAGCTGCAAGCTTGTACTCCCCAAATAATTATCTACTTCTCTCTTAAAAGTTGTTATGGAATCGGTTCCCACCGGCCTTTCAGGCAATGCATTCCA